CTCTGAGCTGGCAGTCAGCACAGAGCCCGACGCGGGGCTCGAACCCACGAACCACGAGATCATGACCTAAGTGAAAGTCGGACGCTTAACCGACTAAGCCACCCAGGCGCCCCCCGAGTGCAGTCTTAACGTAAGGTCTGCTGCTCAGGAGAGCGGCCGTAGAGGTCAGCTGAAGACCATGAAATCGGGAGGAGACTGAAAACCTAGATAATCATGAAGTCCTTCAAGAAGAAAGAGCACATAAAAGACATCCTGGGGGCTGTTTCCACATTTAGAGGTCTGAAAGAAAACAGCGGAAGAGACAGATACGAGGTCATTTAATGTTCGTTAGCCACCTCGTGAGATATATGGCGGTTTCTGTTGGTTTGCAGACTTCGATCGATGACTTTACGTGAATTGTACAGATGGTAGCTGGTAGACCTGGCGCTCGAGAGCCAGGCTTTGTGCCTCTGCAGCCTGCAGTAATCCCGTACACCTACCTCCTGCTTAGAAGAGGTGCAAGAACGTTACCCTGAGGAGGTGGCTGTCCTTGGTGCCAGATGAATTTCTACAAAGTGTGAAGGTTTGCAGGTAGCCCCTGGATCGTTCTGTTGCTGGCAGTGGTGGTGGGAAGGACAGTGTTGCAGTGGGAGGCTGTCCACTGGGAAGGGTACAGTCCCTCCAAAGTCCCGTTTCATGAATTTTATGGGAAAAGAAAGGAAAGACAGAGAGGAGGAGCTTGAAGGACTATAAGTGCTTTTTGTTTGTTTCTTTGATTGGGGGTGGGGGTGGGGAAAGGTCTCAGTACATTTTGAGTTAGAAAAGAACTGGAGCATGGAGTTGTGCCAGGAGCACTGGTGGAGGGGCAATGCCTGTGAGCGTCCAGTGATGTGGGCTAAGAGAGTGGGCGGGTCACTCTTATTTACAGACAAGCATAGTGTTAGAGGCCGTGGTGTGTGTTAGGCTGCCTCCTGATATGATATGTGTGAGGTGTTTGGGGTTGGAGTCTTGAAGACCAATGAAAAAGGTAATGCAGTCAAGATATGCTCTGAAATTATTTACTTTAATTATTATTATTATTTTTTTAAATATTTTTATTTATTTCTAGGAGAGAGAGGGAGAGAGAGACAGCGTGAGCAGGGGAGGGGCAGAGAGAGAGGGAGACACAGACTCTGAAATAGTCTCCAGGCTCTGAGCTGGCAGTCAGCACAGAGCCCGACGCGGGGCTCAAACCCACGAACCGCGAGATCCTGACCTAAGCGAAAGTCGGACCTTTACCGACTAAGCCACCCAGGCGCCCCTACTTTAATTATTTTTAACATTTTTATTTATTTTTGAGAGAGAGAGAGAGAGCGCGCGTGCATGCACGCGCACAAGTGAGGAAGGGGCAGAGAGAGAGGGGGACACAGAATCTGAAGCAGGCTCCAGGCTCTGAGCTGTCAGCGCAGAGCCTGATGTGGGGCTTGAACTCAAAAACCGTGAGATCATGACCTGAGCTGAAGTTGGGTGCTTAACCGACTGAGCCCCGCCATGCACTCTTCAAGTATTTACTTTTAGAATGGCTAATAATTAAGGCTGTAATGATTGTCTTAAATTATTGATCTTATTTGTTAATTTCTAAGTTTATTTATTTAGAGAGAGAGAGAGCACGCGAGCGGGAGAGTGAGAGCGTGTGCTTGCATGTGAACAAGGAAGGGCCAGAGAGGGAGGGAGAGAATCCTAAGCAGACTTGCACTGTCAGTGCAGAGCCGGATATGGGGCTTGATCTCATGAGATCATGACCTGAGCTGAAATCAAGAGTCAGGTACTTAACCAGCTGAGCCGCCCTGAACTTTAAGTGAGTCATGTTGAAATATGTTTGTTCTGTACATGAACGGCTATAGTCCTAAAAATAAGGTTAACGGTTATTACTACAATGACACTTTGCTGAGTCAGTTGTGGGTGCACACAGAGAACAGTGTGTCATGTTTTACATTATTTTGATGATCATTTTGCAGTAGAGCATAAATAGAAACCATACCATCGTTTACATACACAGACTTTCCCTGTGTGAACAGAAGCATTGCCATTGCCCTTAGATTCTTCCTTTGCAACGTATGCTTTATAGATGAATGCGCCAAAGACTGATTTAAATGCAAAAGTGACTTTTTGTATTCTCTTGTTTGCTCTTCAGCAGAAGTCAAAGAGCAGTCTGCAGAAGACGATATTGAAGCCGAAGGGGACAGCAGCAGACGGCCTGTCCCAGCCCTTGAGCGCTCTGTGTCCCAGGACTCTGCGAGCTCCCTGGTCTCTGTTGGTGTGGAAGTCAAAATCAGGTTCGAGAACGAAATGAGTTGGCGTGGGCGTTAGTGACGGGGAGGGGGCTGGCCAGAGACAGTTCAGAACACAAGCTTGGTATGTAAATACGGATGGAATTTGTCTTGAGTGGCTCTGGGTTTGTGGCTGATGCCTCTGTGTGTGACTGGGGTGAAGCTCATCTGTGGGCTTAGTTGATGGTACAACAGAGCAGTAGACGAACACGCTACCTCCTCTCCTCAGAGCCAGACACGGAATCCCAGCTCGCTCTTCCTAGCTGAAGAAATAACGTAAGCTTCTAGCGTCAGGGTTGGTTTTTTGATACTTACCTGTAAGCGTAAGTTTACACCCTTGTTCCTTATCCTCTCTTCAGTCTTTAAAACCTCTTTGTGTATAGTTTAGCTTTGACATCTTGGAGGTTTTAGACCTGACCTGAAAGACGTGAAAAAAGCATGAAATCATTTACCATTTGAACACTGCCATCTTCTTGAGATGGTTTCACTTTTCTGCTTTGGACACCTGCCTCCTCATTTGTCACTGGCTTCTGCAGGTACCCTGCACCTTTATCATGTCGGGGTCCTCAGCATGTGAACTGTTGTCTGTACTCACTCTCTGGGAGCGGTCATTACCAGTGGGGTGGCCGCATCCTGTCTGTGTGCTACGGAGCCCACATTTCTATTTCCAGGGCTGACCTTTCTCTGAGCTGCAGACTCCCCTCTCCGTCTGTTTGCTTCTCACCTCTACTTAGAAGTATAGTAGACACCTCACCCCTACATGTTTGTTCCCCATTTTGGGGAAGGCTTGAAACATTTCAAAATAAAGTGTAGGCTGAAAATAAAACAGTCCCTATGACGCTTTACGCATTAATCCTGCTTTATTTTTTCTTAGGAGAACTTGTTATTTCTCAATGGTTCATTTGATTATGTGATTATCAGTATCATATGATTGTTGTGAAGGCAGTACTTTTTCTTTTGGATTGGTAATTTTTTTCCCATTGATTATTATATTTTGTTTTTAAGATCGTTTCCTTTAAGATTCAGATGCTATGTCTCTTTGTTGTACTGAATTTATTTTTGAAAGAGTTCAAACTTAGCATTCCAGTTGGTTTCTTAGTCTTAATACTATAAATGCTTTATCATATTTTTGTATCTCTTTGTATCTCTCATCTAGCATTCTCATGCTCTAGTTAAGGAGGTTGGTTTTTTTTTTTTAAACATTTATTTATTTTGGAGAGACAGAGACAGAGCACAATTGGGGGAGGGGCAGAGAGAGAGAGACACACACAGAATCTGAAACAGGCTGCAGCCTCAGAGCTGTCAGCACAGAGCCCAACGCGGGGCTCGAACCCACAAACTGTGAGATCATGACCTAAGCTGAAGTCGGACGCTTAACTGACTGAGCCACCCAGGTGCCCCTACTTATTTTATACAGATGCTTCCTATTCCAGTTTCCTTTGTCTTGGCCCCCCAACTTTTCCCTCCAATTTTAAAAATTGAGGTTTAATTTATACACAGTGGAATTCACCCACTTAGTGCGTTTTGACAGTTGTATGTAGTGACCTGACCGCTATGACAACGAGATGAAGAGTCTTTCCCCCTGAGAAGTCCCTGACGCCTGTTTGCCTTTGGCAGCCGCTTACCTGCCTCAGGTCCTTGTACTTCTGTGCCTTGGCAGTACCCTGGAGATGCACTTGCAGAGTGCGCACTCGTTTGATCCTGGCCTTGCTGACTCTCCCCGGCCTTCCTGCCCCTCCTGCCCCCCTGTGCCGCTGTGGTCTCAGTGGTTGCTTCCTTTCCCTGGGTACCGCCCCAGTCCTGGGGGTTCCGCTTCGGGACGATTGGGGAGCGTCCAGGTTTTGGCAGTGCTGAGTACAGGTGCTGGAATATTCAGCCACAGGTGTTAGTGGGAACGTAGGGTTTTCACGTCACTTCTGTACATCTGTGGGCTAGGAGAGAGAGGCTGTCTCAGAGTGGGTTCGGGTGTGGCCGTGCAGCTTTGCATTCTCGGGCAGCGGGTGAGCGGCGCGGTCAGAGCGGGGGGTGTGGGGGGAGGTGGCGGCGTGTTCCTGGCCCCACGCAGCTCTCCTCTCAGACGGACGCCGCGCACCTTGGTCTCGGGGTTGTGTGTCCTCGGGGATCCTGCCGTCTGGCCAGCTCTCGGAGGCCCGTCCGGCCCTCCTCCAGGGTCAGGGCTCCTTGCCCCGCCTGGCGCCTGCCCCGCCTGCAGTTGGCCTGCACCCCTGCCGTCCTTCCCTCCCCAGCCTCCCGGCCGCCGGGGCCGAGGGGGCAGAAGGGTCCGCCCGCGTCGCCGCTGTTCTGCCCCCCAGGCTTTGTGCCACGACTGGCACGTTCTCTGGACTCGTCGCCGTGGCCCCGGGTGTCGTGCACGAGCACGCAGGGTGGGCTGCAGAGACGCTTCGGGAGGGTCACGGGCCGTCCGTGTTCTCACGCGGCCTCACGCTTGGACTTCAGCAAGTTGTTAAAGTGTTTCACTGAATTCTTCTCAGGCTCCTCGTGTGACAGACAGTGGCCTCTTCCCCAGATTCAGCAAATGCTTGGGTCTCCTCTCTTTTTGGAAGTGCCTTCCATTCAGTTAGAGTCGAAGTGGTTGCCCTGTTGACTTCTGTGATGTGATGTGTTTAAGAAGAGTGAATGTGTAGATTGTCTGCTGAGATTATGCTGTGGGGACCAGGCTGCTTGTAGCTCTCTGCATCCAAAGCAGAGGCCAGAAATGTCCCTCATCCCCCCTTGATGGTTAAGAAATTGCTCTGAGGTGCGTAGAGGACTGCCTTCCTTCTTCCATCTCTTGACACCTAATTCTCTAGTGATTTGAGGACTTCTTTAAAATTACTTTTATTGGGGCGCCTGGGTGGCTTAGTCGGTTGAGCGTCCGACTTTCACTTGGGTCATGATCTCGCGGTTCGTGGGTTCGAGCCCCGCGTCGGGCTCTGTGCTGACTGCCGGCTCAGAGCCTGGAGCCTGTTTCGGAGTCTGTGTCTTCCTCTCACTCTGAACCTCCCCTGCTCATGCTGTCTCTCTCTCTCCTAGAAATAAATAAAAAATTTAAAAAAAAAATAAAATAAAATTACTTTTATTGTGGGTCTGTTGTGTGGCAAAATCCCTGTAGTCTGACATGCCTGGGGTTAATTTTATTCCACCATCACATTCGAGAGATGGCTTTGGGTAGAACATCAAAGGTTAAGATATTTTCCCTCAATACTTTGGAAGGCTTGCTCCATTTTCTAGCCAGTGGTGTTGCTAAGGTGGGTGTCCGCCGGATGGTCTTCCACCATGATGCTTCTGGGGGAGGGACAGGCTGGACACGAGGTGTGCTGGAAGCAGTGCGGGCCTTAGCGGCATAGAGAAGATCGTAAGTAAGAAAGTAATAAAATTAATGAGATACTGGCAAAGAATGATGGTGGTCGTATCTTTTAGGCAAGAGAGAAACCTGTATTTTTCCTGTTCAACGTTGTTTTTCTGAACGTAGGTCACATCGAAGTGTGTGTGAGTATGTCTGTCTGCCTTTTTGTCTGTCTCAGTATTAGTGGGTGACACAGTTTGTCATGAAATTGAGAAAGTTAAATTGAGGGACACAATATGAATTTAACTTAAGTTAAAAAAAATCCCCTAGGGGCGCCTGGGTGACTCAGTTGGTTAAGTGTCCGACTTCGGCTCAGGTCACCATCTCACAGTCCGTTGGTTCGAGCCCTGCATCGGGCTCTGTGCTGACAGCTCAGAGACTGGAGCCTGCTTCAGATTCTGTCTCCCTCCTGTTCTGCCTCTCCCTTGCTCGCTCTCTGTCTCTCAAAATAAAATAAAGCCATAAAAAAAAAAAATCCCCTAGGGGCATTCGGGGGGCTCAGTCTGTTGAGCGTTCAACTTTTTAGCTCAGGTCATGATCCCATCATTTTGTGAGTTCCAGCCCCACGTTGGGCTTTGCGCTGACAGCGCGGAACCTGCTTGGGATTCTCCCTTTTGCTCTACCCCTCCCCTGCTCACACTCGCATTTTCTCAAAAAAAAACAAAAAACAAAAAACAAAAAACAAAAACAAAAACCCTAAAAAGATTATAGTTTATTTTTATCACCTGTTAATGTAAGACATGAAAGTTCATATGAGGGATAGATACTACAGCGTAGTGGTGGAAACTTCAGTGCTTGAGAATAAAGGACGGCCATAAATATGTTGTGAAGAGAAAATATATCCAAGGGGAGCAGTCCTTTAATTTTTTATTATAGGTTTTTTTCTAAAAATATTTGCTTGAGAGGGGGGGGTGCGGGGGAGAAGAGCACAGGTGGGGGAGGGGCAGAGAGAGAGGGAGACACAGAATTGGAAGCAGGCTCCAGGCTCCGAGCTGTCAGCACAGAGCCTGATGTGGGGCTCAAACTCACAAAGTGTGAGATCATGACCTGAGCCGAAGTCGGATGCTTAACCACTTGAGCCACCCAGATCCCCCCATAGTGTTTTTTTAAAGGTAAGAATTACTCATTTTCTTTATTCTGTTTTTTTTTTTAAGTTTATTTAATTTGAGAGAGAGACAACACAAGTGGGGGAGGGGGCAGAGGAAATGGGGGGCTGGAGGGGGAGAGAATCCCAAGCAGGCTCAGTGTTGCTAGCTGTGACACCTGGTGGCGGGGCTTGAACCCATGAACTGTGAGATCATGAACTGAGCCGAAACCAAGAGTTGGTCGCTTAACTGACTGAGCCCCCCAGGCCCCCCTATTCTGGTATTTTAAAAAAAGTTTTTATTTAAATTCTAGGAGCACCTGGGGGGCTCAGTCAGTTAAGCGTCCGACTTAGGCTCAGGTCATAATCTTGTGGTCCATGGGTTCGAGCCCTGCGTCAGGCTCTGTGCTGACAGCTCGGAGCCTGGATCCTTCTTCAGATTCTGTGTCCCCCTCTCTCTCTCTGTCCCTCCTGTGCTTGTGCTCTGTCTGTTTCTCTCTCAAAAATAAAAATTAAAAAAAAAATTCCAGTTAACATACGGTGTAATATTAGTTAGTTGTACAGTATTGTGATTGAGCACTTCCACACATCACCTTGTGCTCATCATGACAAGTGCCCTCCTTAATCCCCTTCACCTGTTTAACACCCCCCCTCCCCCCACCCCGCCCTGCAACTCTCATCCTCTAGAGTTAAGAGGGTGTTTTCTGGTCCCCCCCCAACCATGTTCATCTGTTTTGTTTTTTAAATTCCACATGAGTTATGTGGAATTTAAGAAACATAACAAATGAGCAAGCGAAGGGAAAAGAAAAAGCGACATGAGCTAAGAAGCCGACTCTTACTTAACTTTAGAGAACAGCCTGAGGGTTACAGGAGGGGAGGAGGCTGGAGGTGGGGAAATAGGTGATGGGTACTAAGGAGGGCATTTACTGTGATGAGCACAAGGTATAGAAAAGTGATGAATTGCTAGGTTTTACACCTGAAGCCCATATTGCATTGTTTGTTAACTAAGTAGAATTTAAATTAAAACTTCAAAAAAGAAAATAAAAATTACTCCAGCATAAGTAAAAATAAAATAAAAGGGGATGGATAAAATGAGAAAAATATTGTTAACAGGTTAAGCTGATTGATGGGTTTGTGGGCATTTATTAACTGTTCTACTTTAGTGTCTTTGTTCAAAATTTTCCATAATAAAGAGTCCAAGATGTATGTGATCTTAAAAAAAACAAAACCCAACAATAAAAAAATTCTACATATGAGTGAAATCATATGGTATTTGTCTTTCTCTTACTGACTTCGCTTAGCATAATATTCTAGCTCCGTTTGCGTTATTGTGAATGGCAAGATTTCATTCTTTCTTGTGGCTCAGTAATATTCCAATGTATATATACACTACATCGTTTTTATCCGTTCATCTGTTGGTGAACAGCGGGCTGCTTTCATATTTTGGCTGTTGTAAATAATGCTGCAATAAACATTAAGGTGCAGGTACCCCTTTCAGTTACGGTTTTCGTATTCTTTGGTAAGTACCCAATAGTGAGATTGCTGGATAATAGGGTATTTCTATTTTTAACTTTTTGAGTACTCTCGACACTGTGCTCCAGAGTGGCTGCCCCATTTTGCATTTTCACCAACCGTGTAAGAGTGCTTCCCTTTCAAGGAGCAGTTCTTTTAATTCTGTTCTTTCTAAGGTCCCTTATTAAGCATCTATTCCTTAAGCATATATTGTTTCTTTTGTTTTAACTTTTTAATTTTATTGTAGTTAATAGATAAGTATTGTTTAGAAAAGATTTAGGTTTACAGAAAGATTGAGCAGGTGGTGCAGTGAGTTCCTCTCCCCAGCCTTCCTCCCTCCCTCCCCGTGGTGCATTACTGCGGTACAATTTTTACAGCTGATAAGCTAGTGTTGATATGCTCTTATTAACTAAGCAGCATCGTTAGGTGGTGGTTTATTATGTAGGGTTCATCTTTGTGTTCTACACTTCTAGGGGCTTCGACAAATGCATAATGTCATGTATGTGCCATTACAGTGTATCATGGGAAATAGTTTTATTGCCCTAGTATCTCCTGTGCTCTGCCTGTTCATCCCCTTTCCACTGCTTTTAACTCTTTCACACACACCCCTCATAACTAACTGCTTAACCCAGTAACTACCTAAATTCATATTTTTATGTCTCCATGTTTGTTCACATGTGCTTTGTATATGTGTCATGCCCGAAGAGTAGTCCATCAAGTAGATGCATAACACTTTGTCATCCCGTTTTACAGAGCCAGTATGTAATGGAGTGGTCATTAAACCATACCTTCTTTCCCAACCTTAGCTTTACCTTCATTCTTTTTAATACTTTGATTTTCTTGACTCAATTAAAAAGAAATAGTTTTTCTAAGTATAAACTAGAATTTTTTTTTTTTTTTAGTTTATTTATTTTGAGAGAGAGAGCGCGCACACACAAGTTGGGAGGGTGAGAGAGAGAGAGAGGGAGAGAGAGAGAGAGAGAGAGAATCCCAAGCAGGCTGTGCACTATCAGCATCCAGCCCGGTGTGGGGTTTGAACCCATGAACTGTGAGATCATTGACCTGAGCTGAAATCAAGAGTTAGGTGCTTAACAGACTGAGCCACCAAAGTGGCCCCAAGCTAGAACTGTTTGATTTGGTATGTTTACTTCTCTAAGGCATCATGTTATGAATTGTAAATGTCTAATTATTTGTTAAACTTAATTGTTCTTACAGCATGTACGTACTCAAAAGCCTAGCATGCACTGCAGTCGTAATATTTAATTTTGAAACACAAGTATCTGTAGTCCGTCATTTTAAAAACAGTTGAATAAAACACTTTCTTTTTCTCTGTCTTTCTCACTTTTCATTTCTACCAGTGAACAGCTCTGCGCTTTTTGTTACTGTGGTGAAAAAAGTTCCTTAGGACAAGGAGACTTAAAACAATTTAGAGTAACGCCTGGGTTTATCTTGCCGTGGAAAAGCCAGCCTTTTAACAAGAAGGACACTGATGAGAGCAGCAACGGAACCTGTGACAAAATACAAAACTCAGCATCACGAAAACAAAGAGGACAGAGAAAGTAAGCGATTTTGAATAAATGGTTGGAATGCAAGGCTATATGTAATTTATTTCCATCCCAGCCAGTGCATACGTAGATGGGGTTGTTCCTGAATCATTTCTCATGGTTTTCAACATTCATAGGATGCTTTGTGCTTCATCATTACCCCCTAACACATACTCTTTTCCTCCAAATTTCTCATTTTTTAAAAAAAGCTTGTTATCTCAATTATATATTAAAATCAGTGTGATCATAAAAGTTAACTTTTAGAAGAAACCTTTAAAGAGCATAACATAAAACTAGAGAGAGTTTATGGAATTTATCTATAAATGGGAAGAAGAAAGAAGGTAAAACAGTGAAGTCTTTCTTCCTTCCTCTGATTAAGCTTTTAATTGTTTGTTTGGATAGAATCTAACAGAATGACCGAAGCAAGATGGTTTTACTCCTGTTCTTAATTTGTCATTGAGTTATTTTATGTTTGTTTCCCAGAATCCGGAACTGTCCTATAAACTGCCATAACACAGGGTTAGCTTTTGTAGTAATTGTATGCTCACAATGCCTTTTCTGAAGTAAAAAAACAGCTCTGTAAGATATTTGTATAACTACACATGTGTGTCTGTATTTATGAACATTACAGTTATGTAAATCTTTCTCTAATATGTTGAATTCTGAAGTTAAATTTTTTAAAATATGTTGCCGAGTTTTGTTTAAAGTCCATCTTAATATGTGGACTTGGCTCTGGTAGTTGAGGGAGTGGAAGTTTCTGTAGTCGATGAGAAAGTGTAAAAATTAATTTAGCTTGGAAGGCTGACCAGCCCTGCCCCTTGAGGGCGATGATGTAATCGTACGAGTGTTCCTCTGGCTTCTGTCCAGATTTAAGCACTAAGGCATTGTTGTGTTGTACTTATTTGATTGGCTCTTTCTTTTGGAGGGCTGCCAATGCCTTGAAGACCTGAAGTAGGAAATGAAACAATAACAAGAAAGAGAATCCTTTTTAAAAAAAATTTTAAGGTGGACCGGCTTTAGGAGGTTCAGAAGTACTATGTTTAGCGCCTTGGTGTTTGAAAGGCCAGAGCTAGATCCTATAGAAGAGCTTTCCATTTCGTAATCATTTGAGTGCTCATGTCCTAATAAAATATATCAGAAATCTAGCAAACCTTGTAATGTCTATTAGTAATTAGCAAATTTAATGGGCTGGATCAGCTTGTATCTTATATCCTCTTGTTCTGCCTTTGAATAATGGCGAGTGTATAAATCCTTGTTCTGGGAAATATACTTGGGCAACGTTTACTTACTTATGTTATAAGCGAGGTTGATTTTTACTGAAAACTTTTATGGACTAATATAATTATGTCAAAAATAGCCTTGGTTTAGTCTTTATATACACTTAGTGTTTATGCAATTATTAAGTAATGATAAGATAGTTAATGGACTTTAGGAATAAAGCACATTTATTAAATTTGGAATTCATTTAGAGGTAGACAAATTTAATTTGGTAATGATTTTAAATAGTTAACAAAATATATTACTAATGAATAGAAACCAGAGAAACACCTTGTTTTTTTGGTTGTTATTTTATTTTTGAAAAAGAGGTTTTAACAGTTTTTCCCTCTCGATGGCACTAAATTGTAAGGATATGTAACTGGGGATTCATTTTTTTCTTTCCTTTTGTTTTAGACTTAAAATTTGGGGGTATTTCAGCTGACTTCTCCTGATGTTCTTTCCTAAGTCAGGCCACTGGAAACCTTAGGGTTGACAGTAGCATCCTACTGCTGCTGTCTCTAACATACAAGCTAGTTGCAAAAACTAAAGGTGCAATTTGATTAAACTACTGGCTGGGAATTGGATAGTAATAGGCTGTTTAGTCATTTTATCCGTTTTTATACCCCTTCCCCCTGTCAAATACTTGTGCAAAGAAATTATCTTACAAGAGTGCATTAGTTTTTATAGATGAACTGTTCATCTCCCCCCCCCCAATAAAATAACAATGATTAGTAGTAAAGAGTTTATTTGTAGGAATGAGTTATATTTATAGGCAAGAGTTTGTTCTCAGAATACTGTGGGCATTTGTAAAAATGAGAATTTAAAGTTAGCATAGCATGCTAAACTTTTCTTTAAAAAGTGAGTCTATGCATTTCTAATGCTGAACATAAAAAAAATACTGGTTATTTTTATATGGTTTGATATTTAAATGTACTTACTGAAATATGTTAATACTTTTTCTCTTTCAATGATTCCAGGTATAAAAAAGTTTAGTACCCTGGTCATTGTGCTGATTTTCTCTTAATAGGAATCATGATAAATATCCAGCATACAGAAGTGCAGTGAGTTATGATCTATATTCAATAGTGATTTAATCCAGAATGATGATCAGGTTAAATACTATGATATCAGGAGAAGACAAAAGTTTTAGTGCCAGTCATCTGATTTCCCATATTTAAAGTTAAAACACAATAGTATTGATGGTTTACTTAATGTTCTCAGTTAGTATCTGAAGTTTGAGGGCTTTGAAAGTCTGAAATTGCCCATGTGTTGTATGCCTTATTTAGTGTTCATGTTTTACTGTAGTTTTTTCCTGCTACGGTATCTTCTTTTTATGCCCCAAGCCACTAGTAGCTATTTTGTGTTTGCATTTTACTTCTGACTTGTGAGGTCAAGTCTTAACTTACTAGAGAGTACTTGCAACATCACACCATAGACCAACTGTCGAGATTTGTTAAGGGACTGTAAGAAAGCCCCAGCTGACACAAATTTGCTCCCACTACCTCCCTCTGCACACTTTGTAGTGGGTTTTCATTTCCCCTGGGAAATAACCTTTCTTTACAAAATATTAACTGCCAGATCTATTGAGGTAGTCCTCACGATAAAGCAAATTAAAACTTATGATTCAGTTATGTTTTGTAAGCTTTTAAGTAAGGCCAAAGGGAATATTTTATGTGCTAAACTATAGTTCCTGATTAGGATATTAGAGTGTTATTTAAAAAAAAAAATATATATATATATGTATAGAATGGCAAAATAAATTTGTAATTTTTAACACTTACGGAAGCTTATTTTAGTTGTTGCTTACGTGCTATAAAATAACAACCCAGTTTTATATTACACTATGAACAGTAACAGATGTGTTCTGAAAGTTGTTTTATGACTGTTTATGCCTAATAAATTAAAAATGATATGGCAGTACATTATATTTAAGTTGTTATAAACAGAACAATTATCTACTTGTTACCAATTTCACATCTGTTTTGTTTAATTTTATTTTTCCAGAGAGCGATCTCCTCTACAGAATATAGTATCTTGTGTAAGTGTGAGCACGCAGACTGCTTCGGATGATCAGGCTGGTAAATTATGGGATGAACTCAGTCTGGTTGGCCTTCCGGATGCCATTGATATCCAAGCCTTATTTGATCCCACAGGTATGAGCTCGTCTTCAGTGATGATTACCTCTTATTTTTGTAGACATTTTAATTTTAGTGAATCATCAACCGAATAGTAAATAGCTTTCATCTAGAAATAATTATGATCACATTGTAAAAAATGGCATTGTTTAAGTACGGTTGCTTAGGTAAAATAAATTGTCTAATTGTGCGTACTTAAGTTATTTAGCATCTGCACAGGGCCAGCAGTGAGCTGGTTGCTTTTATAAATCTTTGCATTTATTCTTATGTTGACAGCAGTGCCATGGAGATAGGATAATTGAGGAGAGAGAAAAGTTTAAAAGGATCTGTGAGGAGTTGGGGAACTTGGCCTTCTGGGTCTGTGTAACGCAGGGTGAAAGACAGTAGGTCTCAGCCGTGTGGGTATCTTAATTATAACAGCATAGTAACCTGTACTCTTGATGAGGCAGAGTAGACGTATGTATGCAGCTTACTTCCATTAACCCTCTTTGTAATAAACAAAGTATTCTTTGATGTCCTTTACATTTTATGTAAAGATACCGAATAAGATACAATAATATTTAAATAAAATGACTGAAAACTCAGTTTTTGTTGTTGAAGAAATAATCACTCCTTCAGTAATTCTCAAACTTGTGTGTGTCAGAATCACCTGGAGGGCTCGTGAGAACGTAGATTTCTGGGCATTACTTCAAGACTTGTGGATTCAGTAGGTCTTGGTTGTGAAAGGAGATTGTGCATTTCTTTAAAAAAATTTGTTTTTAATGTTTATTTCTGAGAGAGAGAGAGCGAGTGAGAGCGAGAGCAAGGGAGGGGCAGAGAGAGAGGGAGACACAGAAACCGAAGCAGGCTCTAGGCTCTGAGCTGTCAGCACAGAGCCCGACATGGGGCTCAAACCCACGAATCCCAAGATCATGACCTGAGCTGAAATCGGACGCTTAACAGACTGAGTCACGCCAGCGCCCTGGAGATTGTACGTTTCTAACGCATTCCCAAATGACACACTGGAGAAGGGCTGACCATCTTGGCACCGTCACAGATGCAGGGCGGCACTGTGCGTTGGCCCTGAGAGTTGATTGGGGAGTTGACATCTTACTGATGTTAGTGTGCTTCATGTTTCTTCATTTGCTTCGTTCGCCTTACCCGCCTCAGGCACTTGCTGGGCCCATCACCGTTGTGTGGAGTGGTCGCTGGGGGCGCGCCAGATGGAAGAGCTGTCATCGGTGAGCGTGGACAAAGCTGTTGTCTCAGGGAGCACAGAGGTAGGTAGAAGGAGCAAGTCTCTAGTCCACAGCTTTGTGACATTTACTCCTGTCAGTGTAAAGTTGCACTTACAAAAATTGTCAAATGATTACTATAATATAAAAACTCTTAAAATAGAAAATTTTAATTTTATACCTAAGAGTAGTTTCTGCAGACAAGTAGAATATATCTTTTAAGCTGTGCAGTACATGTAGATCTTAAAAACAAATATTTTACATTTAAATCAAAAATTAAAAATTTTAGAAATGAGAATTACTAACTGTATTTATATATACATGTGGTTACTTTTTAAGACAAACTATTTGATTAAGATTGAAAATGAAGAGACAACATTTGACAGGTCTTTGGTCCACAAGGTGGGCTGGCTCTGTTTGATATTATAAAAATTGATTCAGATATTTCTTTAGAGTCAAGTTGGCACTTCAGTTTCATCCCAAAGTAATAGGTACGCAGTCCTCTGTCTTTTACAGTTTTCACTGCAATTTTCATCTATATTTGAAATGAGCACAGAAATAAAAGCAGCATTTACCTTCTATCTATGAAGTACACAAACCCCAGGAAGTGAAAGTGCTTTGCTGCCTACAAATCCCCTTTGGTTTTTGATGATTGTATTTGGGAGAAGTGAGACAGCCCTTCCAAAGGAATTTGTTAAAAATTAAATTTTTGACCCTAGAAATTATATGGGCTTTAACAGATGACATATAGGTAAAACTTTAAAAAGTGTAGTCGAGACAAGGACTTAGATTCAAGTAATTATCAATTAGTATAACATTAGTTTTACTTGGATTATCAAAATGACCTAAATTACGTGGATGAAATCTCGCCTCTAGCTTAGCCAAATTTGAGTGCTTCTTTTGGAAATGTGATATTGCATTCAAATGCTTAGGTCATCCAATTATGAACTGTGTAATGCATGCTAGCAGATTCTGCAGTCTGGACGTTCTTGGATGGCCACACCAAGACTGTGATAGAGCACTGAGTGCTCTTTCTGCCATGAACTACTGCAGACGTGCTTTTGGATCATTTTGTGAAAACGCAAGGTATCCTGGGAAAGGCAGTGAACAGTGGCTGAAACGAACTTTGTGGTGTTCTATTGGAATCGGAAGGATCAATATAAACTCACAGTTTTTAATTCTTATACAAATACAGAAAAACAGATGTGTCTATATGTGTGTTCGTATGTACACATCTGTTTCCTAGCTCTGTTGACTTAGAGGGGAATTAAAAGAAAGCTTGCCTCACATTCCTTTTTGGACAGAAGATACCATCTCTGTGTTTTAAATATTACTGAAAAATATTTAAGTGGATTTAGAGATGACGGCTGTGCCCTAGCACTGGCAGAGGAGTCAAGGGCCATGGGAGGCCTGCATTCCTTCTCTCTGCATTGAGGCGTTAGCGTGGAGTGGCTGAGGCTGTGGAGTGCAGATGGGGGACCAGGAATAGAGCAGAGGGTTCCAGGGGGGACTGGTGGCATGTGGTCAAACCTTTACTCGCCACTGGGTTAGAGCAGTCCAGGCTTGTGGTACTGTGAGTCCTCTGTTGCCATTTCTACAGGTTTTTTTTCTTTTTTCTTTTTTTTTTGGTTTTTCTGTTTTTTGTTTTTTTGTTGGTTTATTTGTTTGTCTGTTGGTTTTCTCCATTGTTGGAAAGGCACAGGTCAGACCAACTAACTAGAACTTTTTTTGTTTGCTTGTTCCTAAGAAGAGTTTGTCTTATTGACAGAAATATAAAAGTATAACAACAGATTTGTGGGATGCAAATTGGTATAAATTTTCTGGAGAGGAATTCAGTGATACCTAACAAATACATATTTCTCTAACAACTACACTTCCTAGGATTTGATCCTGAAAACATGTCTCCAGTAATACAAAATACTTGTGCTATTAAAGCTTAATAATTGCAACATCATTTGACTTTCAAAATATTGATAATAACCTAATTGGCCATGCATAATGGTTGAATAAACTATGGTACTGTTTGTACAGTGAAATATGGTATATGTAAAAATAGAGTGAGGGGTATCTGTGGAATGATGTGAAGTTGTTTCCAATGTGTATTTTTAAGTGGAAAAAAAATTGCAAAAGACCCATTCATGATGTGCAGTCTTTTATGTAAGAAAGGATGAAATAGAAAATATGTGTGCCTATAATCGTTTTGGAAAAGAAATATAGGAGGAATAAACAAGAAACTGAAGAGACTGGTTACTTGTGTCAGGTGGGTGGGAAAGAGATGGAAAGGAGACAAGAACGGGACCGATAGAGCGTGGAAGAGGTATGACAGACACTCTCAGATGTGTCTCTTTGTATAGCTCTGACTCTCAGGCCATAGAATGTTTCATATACCCCCGAAATAAGCAGTTATAACTATCAGCATGTGGGGGAATCCAAAAAGAAATACCAGAATTCGCACTAAGGGGAATGGGGAAGTAAAGAGCTAACCTGGGTAACAGGCAAACAGTATCTCGGCTGGATCTCTGTAAAGCTAAGACAGAAGCACTGTACATACGTGCCGTAATCCAGTGAGCAAATGTGTTTCTCACGGGGGTGTGGGTTACTTTATGTGTATGCTGTAAGTGAACAAATAAGTGAATGCATACATGGTTGATGATGAGAACTAGGTTTTTCAGTGTTGGAGAAAGAAGCTACAAATAAGGAGAGGCTACAATAAGTTTTGTTGTTGAAATGGAATCAGAAGTATCAGTATAAACTCATGGTTTTTAATATTTATACCAACAAAACTACAGATGCGTGTATGTGCACGGGATAGATAGTACGCTTACGTATAACGCCTGCTTCCGTCAGTGACGGTCTGGCTGGGTGTAGGCACACCTCCTAGTAGGAGTGAGCACAGCTGGTGCCCAGATTGCGGTTTCTTTTCTTTTTTTTTTTTTTTTTAATGTAAAAAACAAATTTTTAAAATGTTTGTTTTTGAGAGAGAGTGAGCGAGCGAGAGAATGAATGTGTGGGGGAGGGACGGGGGGGTGGGGGAGACAGAATCCGAAGCAGGCTCCAGGCTCCCAGCTCTCAGCACAGAGCCTGATGTGGGGCTTGAACCCATGGGCCGTGAGATCATGACCTGAGCCGATGTCAGATGTTCAACTGACTGAGCCATCCAGGTGCCCCCAACCCCAGATCGTGGTTTCTAACCACTATTCTCCAGTAAAAGCAACCAAGGCTCCTTGAGCAGTAACTGTTTATGGTCCAGAGGGAGAGTACAACACGAGGTGCCATAAAGTAAGGAAATACTCGAAGGTGAAGACTTCTTGAAAACACAGGAGCCAACTGAAGGGGTCTAAGAGCTAGACAGACCAGTTTGAGCCACAACAAAAAATCTAGTATTGTGTTTTCATCCGCAGAATAGATTAAGTACACACGAGTCCATTCTGATAGCATAGTAGGAATGAATGAATGAATAGCGTAGGTCAGGTCATATCACTCCTCTACCCACCACACTTGAGTGACTTCCCATTTCATTCAGAGAGGAGGGGGGGAAGTCAGTGCTTACTGCGTGACAGAACTTGCTGTGATCTTCACCACCCCCATAAGTACCTCTAAGATAGCATTCACTCACTATGATTCTTCCCCTCGTTTGCTTCCTTCAACCATACTGGTTGTCTCCCTTTCTCAGATGCAGCAGACATAGGTTCCCTTGGGGCCTTGGCAGTTTTGGTTCTCTCTCTGTTGAATATTCATCTTAGATACACATGTGGCTTGCTCCCTCATGTCCTTTAGTAATTTATTCAAGAGTTGACTTATCAGCAAGGTCCTTGCTGGGCTCCCTATTGAAAGTTTCAAGGGTCTTGTCTTCAGAGAGCTTCCCTGCTCTGTTGTTTTCTCCTTTGCACTTGTCACCGTCTAACATAGTGTTTATTAATGTGCTGATGTCACTAATCTTTCCTTACTAGAGTGATATTGCCATTCTGATAAGGATCTTTTTCTGTTGTGGTCATTCCTTAATCCGTATTCAGTTAGTGCCTAAATGAATAGCACTGGACATCATTCATGGAATCTTTCATAGTTACAGAAAGATCCAAAGTGCCAGCGTGTTAATGGAGGTCCCTAATATAGTTAATTTTATAAAAGTTTATGAATTTACATTCATCAAAAAGGAAATCTCTAAAAGAGAGTAAATCTTTATAATTCTGCGTAAGTAGTGAGGGTGGAGGGCAATGACTATGAAAATCTTTGCTCTCTCTAACGTCCTCTAGGGGCAAGGTACGTGCTATTGAACTTAAGAATACATCATATTTACCAAAAGATAGATGTTCTGAATTTTTTGACCTTTATTATGATGACATGTGGCTGGACGTGTTTTGATACCTACCCCTCGTTCAGAGAAAATAAACATTTCATCTGCCTCTTCAAGATAAGGATGTCATTTCAGCAATGAGAATGTAATGACTTTTCAAAGCAACATGTGCTGGAGGTGGAGCATTTTGAAAGTGGATGTTTTGGAACTATTTCTGTTTGATATTTTATTGCTAGAAACAATGAAAATTTATTTAAAAAAAAAAACTCACATTTGTCGCCAAAAAAATTGGGATACAGAATTTTCTGATCTGTTTAAAATGTTCTGAAGAGTTTTAGTATGTTTCCAACCCATTTGTTAAAAAAATGAACACTTTTTGAGAATGGAAGGTGAAAATTTACTAGCTAAATTTTGATAATTTTGGTTGGGATTGAAAAACAGTTTTGGAAATGGGGCACTGCTTCTGTTGAGATCTTATTTTTGTGAGAATCATTTGTTTTTAACTTATGACAGATACTGAAATAAACTCAACTGAGAATCAGGCCTTCAACCTAAGAACATGGTATACAGCTTCAATGGAGGGCTTGTAGGGCTCTCTGTTGTTTTTGATTGTGCACATCTTTCAATAAATATTTGAGCCCACGCCCTCATTATACATTCTTAACTTTTATATGCGTCTCTCCTGTATGTCTCTTACCAACATTTATAGATTTACATCGTTTGTGAGTCTCTTACTCCTTTTGGTTGCCCA